TTTTAGGCACAGAGGAGTAGACACTGGAGCGCGCTAGAGTCTTGGAGCGTAGAAGTAGATAGTTTCCCTTTCGGCCTGTGTGTCATGCTTATGCATTTACATTATTGAGGACATTAGTTAGTTAGCATGTGCACCTGAGTTCTCTAGCTCAGGTGTGGCATAGCACCCCGTACTCTTTATGTTATGTTTTAATGAGAATTTACCTTTATTATTTAAGCTTTAAAAGTTTAAAATTTTCGGGGTGTAACACATGCTCCCATCTTTCTTTTTAACAAATAATACTGGTGCTCCCCATGGTGAGGTGCTGGGGCGGATGTACCCCTTATCTAGTAGTTCCTGAAGTTGTGTTTTCAGTTCCTTCATTTCCTTTGGCGCCAGCCTGTAAGGTGGTTTAGAGATCGGGGCAGCGCCTGGTATTAGGTCTATCGTGAACTCGACTTCTCTGGTTAGGGGTGCTCCGGGGATTTCGTCCGGGAAGACATCGGTGAATTCGTTTACCACTGGAATGATTTGGGGTTTGGCTATTTCGGTGTTGAGGTCCTTGACCGAGCATAGGAAGGCTTCGTTCCCTTGAGTTAGATATTTCTTCATTTTTATCATGTTTACTAATTTGATTTCTGGATCCTTGTGGGTTCCGTGGTAGGATACCATCTTGCCGTTCGGTCCCCGTAGGACCACTTTTTGTTCACCGCATAGGATTTGTGCTTGGAATTTCCTTAACCAATCCATGCCCAAGATCACTTGTACCCCATTTAGTCTGAATTGTATTAGGTTGCTAGGGAATTCCACTCCTTCGATGGTGATTATTATGTTTTTGTACATGCAGTCACATTTTATGATTTCACCAGATGCAGTTGTACTTTGGTGTCGGCGCTGAAACCGAGGTGAGCGGCGAATTCGGTGGCTATAAATGAGTTGGTAGCTCCTGAGTCAAATAGTACAGTGGCGGGGGTGGTGTGTACAAGGAAGGTTCCGGAGACTATGTTACTATCTCCGATTTTGGCTTTGCTTATGCTAAGGAACCTTCCTTGAGTGGCCGGTGTCGCGTTGTTGTGGGGCGAGGTGGTTTTGGCGGCCTTAGGCTCCCGGAGGGAGTTCGTGTGGTTCTCTTTAGATTTCCTTTTGTATCTCAGGCGTGTTTCCTGTGGTTCGTCGGGTATTTGTTGTAGTTGGAGTGTCTTGGCATAGGCTTCTTTGAGAGTTCTCGGTTCTTGTATAGTTAGGGCCTTCTGGTCTTCGGGATTGAGGCCTTTTATGAATTTCTTGACTTTGATTGTTTCTGTAGGTACTAGTTCGGGGGTGAGGCGAGCTAGCTTGAGGAACTGCCAGTGGTATTTTGTGATTGGGGTCGCTTCCTATTTTAGATGGAGGAATTCTTCGTACATGGTTGCTTTCAGGTGACTGGGGTAGAATTGTTCTTGTAGTCGTGTCGTTAGGGATTCCCAATTGAACCCGGGGCTTTGTTCACAATTGGGTTTCTCGTGGACCCACCAGGTGTCGGCCCCGTGTCTGAAGTAGAAGGAGGCCGCCTCTACTTGGTGGCTTTCCGGGCATCCCGTTGCCCTGAATATTTTGTCAAAGGTTCCGATCTATTCTTCGAGGGTCGTGGGATTTTCGTCCCCTGAGAAGGTGGGCGGTTGGTATTCCGCGACTTGGCGGTGGATCTCCAAGTTTCTGTTTGGTGGTAATGGTTGGGGGACTGCATTGTTTAGTGTCTGGGCAATTTGAGCCAGACGTTGTAGATTTTGAGTCAAGAACTCCTGTGTGGGAAGTTTCGGTGTTGTTGTCTGTTTCCTCCTTGGTGCCATCATGGGGTTCATAGGTTGATATTAATTTGCATCCTTACCTTGATGCTATGTGTGTAGAGAGAGTTTATTATTAAAATTACGTGTGGGTTAGGTTGAGGGAAAGTGTAAGGTCTCACAGTCTCACCGCGCGTCCTACGATTCCCTAAGTCCTATCTTCCTAGTGTTTTAAGCCTATTGTTCAAAGCTCTTGGTCTTAAGAGTCTTATCCTATGGTCAAACTTAGGGTCTGATACCAACTGTAACACCCCGAAATTATAAAACTTTTAAGACTTATATAATAAAGGTAAATTCTCATTAAATCCCAAACATAATATAGTAGAGTACGGGGTGCTATGCCACACCTGAGCTAGAGAACTCAGGTGCATAGGCTAACTAGCTAATATCCTCAATAATGTAAATACGTAAGCATGGCACGCAGGCCAAAAAGGGAAACTATCTACTCTACACTCCGAATCTCTAGCGCGCTCCAGTGTCTACTCTTCAGTGCCTGAAAGTCAAATATATCTGTTCAGCGAGAGATGCTGGTAACCCACTCCAACGCGTTGAAATACATTATAGATAGATATATGTATATAGATATAAGAAAATTCATTTTGAAGCAGGAAGATATATACTTAGGAGACGCTAGTTTTAAAATCAGGAATAGACTCGACAAATAGGGATAAGCACATTCAACAGTTATAATCACGCATATAGAGATACTAGCATATATCCTATGGTCACAGATTCACTTCATCTCATTCACATCATCACCCCAATTCGTATCTCGTCACACGCAAGCACACTTTGGTGGCGCCACAGGACCAATCGCATGCCCATACATGAGGGTCAGCGCATATAGCTCTGACACGGCCCCGCAGCACCCTGCCTCATATCGCAATACGAAGGGGTCGATCGCAACCGACCGATGAACCGCAGCTCATCATAATGTTTGATCGCAACCAAACAATGGACCACAGCCCAAGAGTAGTCATCTGACCGCAGCCAGGAATATGAACCGCAGCTCATGTAAAACGTTTGATTGCAACCAAACGGTGGACCGCAGCCCGAGAGTGTAATTCTGACCACAACCAGCTTCTGAACCGCAGCTCAGGTATAACCAATTTGATCGCAACCAAATTGGGGTATCATGCACACATAACACATAGCAAGCACATGCAACCCACATTAACACATTGGGAAGGGGGAGAAATCGTATAACGAAACCTATGCGTGGTCATCCACATACTAGGAATAACCCTAAGGGGATATATATATACTAGGCCAACGGGATACCAATTCCACTAGCACGCAATATATATATACATATATATATATATATATATATGTATATATATATATATATATATATATATATATATATATAAAAGACTCTTTTATCCTACGAATGGTACCCGAAACATCAAACTAGACTTTAGGCACGATAGACGGAGTCCGTTGGGACGCCACGGGGATCGGGGGAACATTAAACGGGGAAGCCGGGATCCCGAGGTGGGGAAATTTCCAGCGGGTAGCCGGTGGGTGGAGGACCACCCGCCGGCGACAAGTCTCCGGGCAGCGGGTGCCCAGCGGGCAGTCGCCTGCCCGCCGGCTGCCCGCTGCCGGCGACGCCCTTCTCGGGCAGCGGGTAGGTGCCGAGTCCCCCTACCCCCCACTGACTCTTTATCAAAATAAACGTCCCGGGATCCGTTGTGGAACCCGACACCATGCTTAGAGACTTTTAAACGCAATTGATGACACCACGTAGACAATTAACGGATCAAAAGCAAGAATCATATAGCACATATCCTATCACGACTTCTAAACATAATCAACACCCGAACATGCGAAATCCCACCTAATTATATCAAGAATAACGCAATACGAAATTCCCAATTTTAACCTAGGGCTCTAATCATATTCAAATCAATAAAATCATAGTTCATCTTTTAATTGCCAAAACATCAAGATTCATCAAGAACATCACATAGTCATCAAGAACCTCTTATCATCATCAAGATCATCAAGATCACACATAAAATCATCGTACAATCATCAATATCATAAATGAATCATTAAGACACAATTATAGAGAGGAGGCCAAAGAAGATAATTATAGCAAGGAAAATAGGTTTTGTTGAGACATGGGTTACCTCTTAGCCTTAATTAATTTCCTTGGCTATGAAGGGTCTTTCTTTAAGATTCCTTCTTTCTTGATTTCTCCTAGGGGGATTCTTGGAACTTCTTGTGTGGTGAGAGATTATTGTGGTGTGGGTTCTAGGTGCCTTCTATGCCCCCTATTTATATATCTAAGAGTCCCTAATTAGGGTTAGTTCTATTCCTTCTAGAACTAGGGGATTGGGTTTAGGGATAAGGGCCCATGGACTATGGTGGGCCTTTCTTAATTAATTAGTTAATGAGATTTATTTCTTCTCTTCCGGGTAAATAGTTAATTGGTTCATGGGCCGTAACACGGGGTGTTACACTTAATCTAACCTTAAAAAAGGGCTAAAAAATATACTCTAGATCGCCAACTAATATTGTCAAAATTTTCCAACAAATAATAGATCAGAGATCAAATTTGAATTTCAAATTTCACCGGTCAAAGAATCCAGATGCATGCATGTCATGTATGTCTATATAAATATTGTAAGATTTTTCCCTAATAATATATATTATATATTAGGGCCTTAATTAAGTGGGGTAAGTTACTAAGCTTACTAAGTAGTTTGCTTTAATTTGACTGAATAACTAGCTAGAAGTTGTTAGTCAACTAGACTCTGTGCCTAATATAAACCTAGATTGATGGGATACAAGACATTCATTATATAGCATATTCAATTACGGTACTCATATTGCTTAGTAGACACCAATACACCATATGTGGTTCTGAGTCAACTATGAGACAAAAAAATGCTAACGGTCTACCGTTCAAGAGACAACACAACAAGACATCAACTGTGGTTGGAGATCAACAATGCTTCCGCTTCCGCTACTACGAGGTCAGGTTTCTCGTAGATTATTATTCAGTGTTATTAGGACTCTATGTATCCGAGTCTATTTGAAACTTCTTATCCTTGTCACCTTGTGACTCTCTATTATATATATTCACATCATCTGATCTCTTTGTAATTAATGTCTTGTTAATAGTTAATACAATACAATCAGTTCTCATCTGGTATCAATAAGCTAGGGTTTTTCTATCTCTTTCCCATGGCTGACAGATCTGTATATTCCTCCGAACGGACCATTTCTAATGCTAGTGCTGCGTCGAGTGCTTCGTCAATTGTGTCGTTATCCACCTCTCACCACTTCATGATCACCAAATTGACCTACAAGAATTTTCTATTATGTCGTACGCAAGTCATTCCGTTTCTTCACGGGCATGACTTAATGGGATTTGTTGATGGTACGAATCCCTCCCTGTCGGTGCTTCTCCCTGCCGGCGCCGACGCCTTGCCACGGTCGAATCCGGCCTATGCCGTGTGGATGCGTCAAGATCAAGCGTTACTGTCCATGCTTATCTCTTCCCCCTCCGATGAAGTCATGCCATTAGCCGCCGGACGTCGCACGAGTCGTGCTCTCTGGGAGGCCATTGTCCAGGCGTTGTCTTCCTCCTCCCGAGCCCGCGCATTAAATCTCCTCGGTCAGTTATAGGGTCTGGATCAAGGAGATTCGTCAATTGCGGACTACATCGGGCGAGCTCAGGTGATCGTTGAAGAGCTCACCCTCGCTGGACGCACGGTAACCCTAGACGATCAAAACCTCTTCATCTTTCGCGGCTTACGACAGGAGTTCCGTACCCTCACCGCCTCCCTCGCCATTCGTGGTCAGCCGGTGACGCTTCAGGAGTTGGCGGACTTCCTCGGCAATCATGAGTTTATCTCCAGCCGTGACTACAGCAGTGCACCGACGGGGCTAGTAGTCCAGCGCGGTGGTGGCAGCAAAGGTCGTGGCGGTCAAACCTGTGGTGGTCAGCGAGGAGGAGGCGGCAACAGTGGTTTTAACCGTGGTGGTGGTGGTCGGCAGCAAGGTGGCTGTGGGCGTGGTGGCCGCGGTCGCGGGTGCAATTGTGGTGGTAATCAGGTTCAGTGCCAGATATGTAGATGGACTGGTCACGAGGTGGTTGCATGTTACAATCGTTATGACCCACCACCCCAGGCCAATCTAACCTACCCAAACAATTCTGATGTTGGTGGCTTTCAGACGTGGATCCCGGATACAGGGGTTACCAATCATGTTACTCTGGACATTGCTGCCTTGACCACCTCCTAAGAGTATGTTGGCAATGACACATTGCGTGTCGGTGACAGTATGAGTTTATATATTAGTCATGTTGGTCATGCTTTTAATACCCCTTCTAGAACTTTCACACTTTCTAATATCCTTCACGTTCCAAGTTTGTCAAATTCTTTATTATCTGTTCAAAAGTTTGCATCTGATAATAAAGTCTTTTTTGAGTTTCACCCCTCGTTTTTTGTTGGGAAGGATATCAATACCAAGGAAATACTTCTTTGGGGCAATAGTTTAGGGGGGCTATACATGCTATCGTTATCTAGTTCGTCTCCGTCAACGTTTCTTTCTGCACGTGCCTCAGCATCAATTTGGCACAATCGTCTAGGTCATCCTCATAATCGTGTTCTTAGTCTTATATTTCGGTCTTGTTTAGTTAGTGGGTCTCGTGATATTATTCATTATAATAATACTTTATGCAATGCATGTCAATTGGGTAAATTTGCTCGTTTTCCCTTACCACGTGTTGCCTCCTCTAGCTCTCATATTCATGATCTCATATACACAGACATCTGGGGCTCAACTCCTATTTTATCTACTACTGGTTATCGTTACTTTGTAATCGTTGTGGATGACTATTCTCGTTACACATGTTTGTTTCCCATGAAGTTAAAATCTGATCTCTATGTCATTTTTGATAAGTTTCGCATTCTTGTTGAAAGGACATTTAATTGCAAAATAAAATCCATTCAGTCTGATTTAGGTGCTGAGTACAAAAAGCTACATTCCTCATTTGTTCATTTAGGGATTCAACATAGACAATCCTATGCATATACACATGAACAGAATGGTCGTGTTGAACGTAAACATCGTCACATAGTTGAAACTGGTCTAGCACTTCTAGCCCATGCTTTTGTTCCTTTAAAATTCTGGGATTTTGCTTTTGAGACAACTGTCTATTTAATTAACAGGATGCCATCTTCTGTATTAAATAACTCCAGTCCCCATCACCTGTTCATAAATCCCCTCCTTCTTATCTTTTTCTTCGGGTTTTTGGCTGCTAATGCTATGTGTTGGTCCCAAAAGAGGTAAGGTGAAAGTCTAGAGGGGGGGGGGGGGTGAGTTGACTTTCAAACTTTTTAGCATAGTACCACAATTGCTAAGCCAGAGATAAACCAAAACTCTTAACTAGATTGTTAGAGTATGTTGCACAGCGGAAATAAATAAACGATACGGTGTGTGTGTAGATTGTGTCAAGATTATTCTCGTGAGAAGCAAGCAAGAGCAGTAAGTAAAGAAAGCAGTAAAGAACACAAGTCAATTTATAGTGGTTCGCAAGGTGGTGTAATCCTCCTACTCCACTTGCTCTTATCTCCAAGAGCAATTCACTATATCCACCACTTCTTGGTTCCAAGATACAATGAATTTCCGTGATCTAGTGCTTTGATCTCCAAGCCCACACTAATCATGCCCAGTGCCACCAACACTGCTGCTTCGGGTTTCACGTCGCCGCGTTACTTTCCCAGGATTTCACGACTCTGCGTTACTTTCCCCCCGTCTTCTACGATCCGGTAGAAACGTATCCTCCGTGATCTAGTGCTTTGATCACAAAGCCCGCACTAATCACGCCCAATGTCTTCCGACACTGCTGCTTCGGATCTCACAACTCCGTGTGACAATCCAGGATTTCACAACTCCGTGTTACTTTCCTCCTTTCCCTTGTTTTGCTCCAAAACAAGTTTTGCCTTGCTTCCAACTTTGAGACTCTGTAGATGATCTTCAATGGTGCGCTGAGTCTCTTATAGTTGATGAATATTCTAACACTCTTGGATATTTCTTTTGTAAGCTCTGTATCACTCTGAGTGTTTATCTCACAAAGAATATATCAATTTAAGCTCTTGAGATGGAAAGCTTTCTTTGAATTTTGTATGCTCTGTTTAGCTCTGTTTTTGCTTCTCTTGTTCGCCCCCTGCTTTCCACTACTTCAATCTTCATCCTTTTATAGCTGATAATGAGAATCCGTCCGTTGGAAAGAAACGTTATCATTTTTGAATTTCTTCTAGCTGTATAGCCTTTTCAGAGGATAAGATAACGTTGCAGATATGTCAGAGATTCTATGCAAGTTGAGCTTGAAGTTTTAGCAAAAATGGCGTCCCAAAAATCTTCATTTGGTGTAGATCACGCCTCTTGGGATTTTTATCTTCAAAATATAATCTCCAATTTAATCCCTTACTAGTTTAGACTAGTATTTTTGCTTCTGCAACTTCTTCTTGTATTTTCCTCTGTACTTCACGTCTGGGTCTGTAGACTGCTTCCAGACTTCATCTTCTTAATTGACTTGGGAAATCTCTTCCCATGTAAACTTCATCCCTTACTATATTTGGAAGTGAAATCTCATCCCTTCCTTGATTTTGAAATTGAAATCTCATCCCTTACTTGATTTCTTCCATGTAAACTTCATCCCTTACTATATTTGGAAGTGAAATCGCATCCCTTCCTTATTTTGAAATTGAAATCTCATCCCTTACTTGATTTGGAATTGAAACTTCATCCCTTGAATTGAAGCCCTTTGCAAATCTCTTCCCATAAAATTGAAACTTCTGCCCCAAGGGTGAGATGCGTGAACTTCATCCCTTCAAATTGTATCCCTATATCAATTTACTTCATCCCTTCAATTGGAATTGCATCCCAATTTCATCTTTAAGAAACTTCATCCCATAGTCAACTTAGAAATCTCATCCCAATTGACTTTGCAAATTGCTTCCCTTCGGCCAAACCATCGCCCATACTTCATCTGATGGATTTAAACTTGGCTTCTTTAAAATATGTGAGATGTGAGATTTGAACTTGTGACCTTGCATATAATATTTCAAACTTCTTCCAACTCATCCGTACAACCTTTTGGTTATCATCTTGTTTCACTTGGTGTACTCCTTTCTTTCTATAGATGCTTGATCTTCAAGATAGCTTCATGCAAACTTCAAGTCACGTTCATTCTTCTTCGGGATTTCTTGAGGGATTTCTTCTTGATAAAAACATGACACTTATGCATATAGACATGTGAAAAGCATTTTTAGATGTAGGCTGACTGGTGTATAAAAATTCTTCAAGGAAAAACTCGATCTTCAAGTCGAGATAATACTTATAGCTTTCACAAGCTTTTATTTCAAAAATCGATCTCAGTCTTTAAAGATGAACTGACATCATCAAGATCTTTATATATTTCATTGATGTTTACACCATCAATATTGACTGAGATAATAAATAAGTCCATTATCAACTCTTTAAAGAGTTGCGAATGGGGTTATTATCCTCATGTAGAAGGAATAATATGTACAGTTCATTAAAAACTATGGTATACATACAGTTGCAAGCAGAATTAAGCATTGAATCAAACTATGACGTGTTATAGTTTGGTGGTATCCATGAAAGGGAAAGAGCATAAAGATCAAGAATGAATCAACTCCAGAATAACTCCATTCTCATTAAGCATTGAATCAAACATATATACATCACAAGGATAGCAGTTACAATATAATGATATCATAAATGGGGAAGATCATGGGTTCGTGGGAGATAATGGCCATAAAACAATAATATTTATAACACTCCCCCTTGGACATTATTCATCTACAATCTTGCTTTCATACAAACTTGCTAGGAAAACCCTGTGGGAAAAACCTAGACAAGAAAAGAGTATAATAGAAAATATATCTATGCCTAATTAAAAACTTCACTAGGAAAACCATGTGGGAAAAAACCTAGTTGAAGAAAAGAGTACATGATATATGTAAAAACATATATTGTATTGGTCGCCTCATTAAAAACCTTAACTTAAGAAAACCCTATGGGAAAAACTTAGTTAAGGGAAAAAGACTACAACCATAAGCCTTCAGGGCGCAAACTGCATAATCTTCAGGATTTTGGGGTTTGTCCATTTAAGCAATTATTTTGCAACTTTTCCCCATTGTCATTACTATATCATACTCATGCCTCGTTAAAAACCACACTAGAAAACCCAATGGGAGAAAACTAGTGAGGAAAAGAGTACATGATATTTATGTATTTATGTTGTTGCAAATAGTGCACAACTGTTAGTCTTTTATGACTTAATCTTCAGGATTTTACGTTCAATCTTCCAGATTGATTCGAGTAAATGTACTTCCCGTCTCCCCCTGAAGATAACAATCTTCAAGTTCTACATATATTTCAAAATTTGAAGAGATGAATTGGACAAATCTTCTGGATTGTCACTAGAGTAGTGTACAATAATCTTATGGCTCTTCTAGAGCTCATATAACATTTGTGCAACACAAGTGTTATTGTCCTCATTTTGAACATTTAGGAAAATTCATTGTATAACCAGTTTTGGACTTGGCATTGCGGGGATCAAACAAAACAGCCAGTACCCAAGTAGCCTATTAAAAGCGTATCATGGTTTTATTACATAAATGTCATGTCTTTGTATCTCGAAGATACCGGAGGATATGTTAATCATTATTCAAGTACTTCATTTGTAGGGAGGAGCACTAGATTTTGCTAGCAATTTCATCGCAAATATGTTACGATTATGGAACTTCTGGTTCTATAATGGTGCTCCAACGATAATGAAGTAAGGGACTTCAAGTCCAAAAAGGTTCTTTATCTGCTTCAAGAGATTATTAAGCAATCTTTAGTTTGATAAGAACATGACACTTATATGCATATAGACGTACATGTGAAAAGGCAATTTTAGATGTAGGCTGACTGGTGTATATAAAAAAAATCTTCAAAGAAAACTCGATCTTCAAGTCGAGATAATACTTATAGCTTTCACAAGCTTTTTATTTCAAAAGTCCCAGTCTTTAAACATGAACTGACATTATCAAGCTCTTTATATATTTCATTGATGTTTAAACCATCAATCTTGACTGAGATAATAAATAATAAATAAGTTCATTATGAACCCTTTATCGAGCACACAATGGTACATATTATTCCTTCAATGAGGATATTAACTCCATTCGCAACTCTTTAAAGAGTAAATAATGACACATAATAAT